TGGGCTGTGTGCACAGTCTTGTTGTAGTTAAGCCTTGATTGCTGTTGGTATCACTGGGAGGAATTGACCTCCAGGCCAATTGGCTGTGAGGACCAGTTATGTCTACAATGGGAGAACTGCTCTGCTGGAGACACCCTTATGGGGCAGGACTTGCTTCAGTGGGGCTTTGGCGCTCACTGAGTCTGCCCAGGTTTTTAGGCGGAGAAAGGCCAGGCCATTGGTATGCAAAAGCCTCTGCGCACAGCTTGGGTGGGGTTGTAAATTGGGTGGGGCGGGGTCTCAGGGAATCACCAGGGTGGAGCAAACAGCAATGGCTGCCAGTCTGCTCTGCCTCGGAGAGGTCCTGGGGTCTGTGTCCTGCGGCCCGTGCAGGAACAATGAACGCTGTAAGCACTTCTGTGAGAAAGCCGCCCTTACGTTCCGGCCTGATGCCAGACAGTCCAGTTTCTCCTCGTATGAGTCTGGGTCCCCAAATTCTCACCCGGAACTGGAGCTCAGAGCAGTCAAGAGCTTGTATCTCCCTCCAAAAGACAACAGCGTACCCAGCTGCCAGCCCCTTTCGTGGAGTCTCCCTACCTTCACACTTCCACACCTCTGCACGTCCTACCGGACTCAGTGTGCTTTTCTCTTTCCTTCTAGTTGTAGAATTTCCACTCAGCCAGCTTCCCCTGGTTCTGGATGGTATCCATTTTGTCTTTTAGTTGTAGTTTTAATGTGTTTGTGCGCGGCAGCAAATTCAGGTGTTTACCTATGCCGCCATCTTGGTTGTCTCCCCTGATCTACTTTCTTACAGAGAACTCAGGTTTGAAAAGCATTGAAAGGAAACAAAGTGATTTTCTCTCAAGAACAACTAAGCAATACAAAACAAACAAACAAAAAAGGGGAGAGAGACTGTGCCTTCATCCCATTTTTAATGCTTCTAACTCCCTAAAATATCACACATTTCCATAAAAACTCAGCAACTTAGAGGGGAAGGCAGACCAGTCTGGAGCTCTGGATCTGCGTGAACAAGTGTGTAACATACCTCATCAGGCCCCTGCCAGCGTGTAAGAACGTTGTATATCAAGCTCTGTCCAGTGTGTCTCAGTTGGTTGGATCATCGTCCTGTGCACCAAGGGTCATAGGTTTGATTCCTGGTCAGGACACATACCCAGGGTTCGGTCCCTGGTTGGGGTGTATACGGGAGGTATCCAGTCTATGTTTCTCTCACGTGGATATTTCTGTATCCCTCTCGCTCTCTAAAATAATTTTTTATAGCAAAAATTTAAAGCACATAAAAGCAGATGGAATTGTTTAATGTACTTCTTTGTACCCATCGTTGGCTATAACAGTTATCAACAACTGCTGGCTAATATCAATCAATATATTACAAAACAAAACTCCTGGCCCCTACGATTTCACCTTTACTCCCACTTTCTCCCTTTTGTGTTATTTGGATATCATTTATCTGTAAATATTTCATTATGTGTTTCCAAAAGATAAGGGCTCTTTTTATAAAAAGAATCACAACTCTAATATTGTTACATCTAAAAAGTTAAAATATCTTATTAGTATCAGATATCCAGTCAGCATTTAAATTTTTCAGTTGTCTCTTAAATGTTAGATGCTCTGTTTCCCCATACAATTTACTTGTCCATAGAGTCTCCCAGAGTCTGTTTTTTTTATATATATATCCTTTGAGGATATTTTTTTTTCATTTTCAGAGAGTGGAAAGGAGTGGGAGAGTGAGAGAGAGGGGGGGGGGGGAACTTCAGTGTGAGAGGGACATGTTGACTGGTTGCCTCCCCCGTGCACCCCACAAAGATGGAAACGCAACCCTTCCGTACAGAGGCCAATGCTCTAACCACTGAGCAACGCCGGCAGGGCTTCCACTGTGGATTTTGCTGACTGAATCCTTGTGGTATCATTCAACATGATCTGTGTTTTGTGTTTCATGAGGGGGGGGGAACTTCAGTGTGAGAGGGACATGTTGACTGGTTGCCTCCCCCGTGCACCCCACAAAGATGGAAACGCAACCCTTCCGTACAGAGGCCAATGCTCTAACCACTGAGCAACGCCGGCAGGGCTTCCACTGTGGATTTTGCTGACTGAATCCTTGTGGTATCATTCAACATGATCTGTGTTTTGTGTTTCATGAGAATTGCTTATTGGATATAGAGTTTTGATTAGATTTGGGTTTTTTATTTGGTTGGTTTACTTGTTTCATGTGCCTACTTCTGTAGGTAGTTATGTATTCTGATAAGAAACTCATGCTATTTTATCTCTTTTTAAATATAATGTTAGCTGGTACTATTTATCAATGCCCAGATCCACCATTCATTAGGATTGTAAATGGTGCTATTCTTGTTCTGTTACTTCTTCTTCACTTATTAGTTGAAAGAGTTCTATAAAGAAAAATTTCCCCTAATCTATTACTTGGTTACCTAATGGCATAGTTTATATAGGAAAGGCAGGATAAATGCTTGATTTTCCTCTTTTCCCCATTTTATAAAATAATGTGTGTAGTCACTAGCATTCTTTAACAGTGGTTTTTTGAGAGTATTAATATGAACACATGGATTTTAACATATTTGTGCTTTAATCCGTCGCAGTTACTGTTCTTGGTGGTTCACCAGTTGTCCCATTTTGGGCCAGTGAAAGCTTGTTCAGGTGGACTCTGTTGTCCTCTTGAAGTGTCCTAGTTGCAGTGGATTTTAAATAATATTTTTCTGTCAGCCAATCAGATTTATAAAATAAAACTAGAGGCCGGGTCAACGAAATTCGTGCACAGGAGGTGGGGGTCCCTCAGCCCGGCCTGCGTCCTCTCGCAATCCAGGACCCCTTGAGTAGGGTCCCTAGGCCTGGCCAGTGATCAGGGCCTATCAGGGCTTTCCTTCCCCTGGCTGCCGGCAGCTGGCCCCACCTAGCCATCTGTGCAGCACTGCCCCCTCCCCTCCCCTGCCACCGGTCGCCTCCCTCTGTGGGTGACAGGCGTGGGGTGCGATCACTTGGCTGGCCTGGGCCTCCCTCTGCGGGGCGATCGCTGGCTGGCCCCACACACCTGCCTCAGCGTCGCTGGCTGATGTCCTGGGCCTCCCTCTGTGGGGTGATGGATCGCGGGGCCCCCAGATCGATCGCCCCACAGAGGGAGGCCCGCCCACCCAGCGGGGCTCCGGGATCAGTCACCGCGCAGAGAGTGGCCTGGGCCTCCCTCTGCAGGGCGATCGTGGGGCAATGGCGGGGCCCCCGACCAATTGCATCGCACCTGCCTTGGCGCCAGTGCATGTCATAGCTTGGTCGTCCGGACAGTCGTTCTGCTGTTCAGTCGTTCAGTCGATTTGCATATTATGCTTTTATTATTATAGACTAGAGGCCCGGTGCACAAAAATTTGTGCACTCGGGGAGGGAGAGGGGGTCCCTCAGCCTGGCCTGTGCCCTCTCGCAGTCTGGGACCCCTCGGGAGATAACGACCTGCTGGCTTAGGCCTGCTCCCGGGTGGCAGAGGGCAGGCCCAATCCCTAAGTGCAGCCCCTGGTCAGGCTCAGAGCAGGGCCGATTGGGGAGTTGGGGCGCCGCCCCGTCATGCACAGAGCAGGGCGGATCGGGAGGTTGCAATGCCACCCCCTGTCACGCACAGAGCAGGGCCGATCAGGGGGTTGGTGTGCTGCACCCTGTCAAACACAGAGC